GAACCCGGGACTTCCGCGTCTCTCTGCAGCGACCCAGCCCCGTGAGCTAAAGAGAGATCTCTCCACAGCCCAGTAGCTGTGGTCCTGCTATCACAGGGAAGGGCGGTGACGTCACCCGCTCTGGTACGCCGGCTCTTACACACAGTGCTTGTCGGCCGTAAGCGTTACAATATGTAGGGATATAATGTTAAAATGCCTGAAATAACTAGAACAGATTTGTTTCATCAACTTGCAATTAGTTTAATGACTGAAAAAAATAAAATAAAATACCTTTACAATCTCCCTGTATTATGTCACATTGCAATAATTTAATTTCTACTTACCATGAAAGCAGACAAGTGTCCATATGAAGATGGTGATGAAGGTCATTGTCACTGTGGGTTCTGTTGCCATAATGGGCAGCTCTCAGTCATGAAGTATTAAACTCACAGGGCTATAAACACTCCCAGAGCACTGAAGCATGTGCTGCCAATGCAAAGTGTCTCTTCTATGCAAATTTGCCTTTATAGATCAGCCAAGAGGAAATACAGTTTGTGCACTGTGAGGACATGGTCTGTGAGGACATGTTTGAATCTGGTCCTGCATCATTCTCAATGATAAATGAAACATATTAATTACAGGATAATTCAAGGATTTCCTATAGACAACTAACTTAGTGCCCAATTTTACTTCAACATGAAGTAAGAAACACAGTGTTAATTATTCACTCAGGACAGCATTGACTCAACCTATTATTTTTTAATATAGTTAACCTTAGCCCTGCTAACTTAATCACAAACAGTAAATTAAAAAAAAATGAGATGTAGAAATGTGTTTTCTTAGGCAATAGAAAGCACACAAATATTTACAACTAGAAAGCTTTAATGATTCATTATTTGTTACTATTTAATTTCCAGTGTCCTGTTCTGACTCAGTCACCAGCTCAGTCTGTTATCTCAGGAGAAACTGTTTCGATCAGAGGTACTGTATATCGAGCAGCTCTGTTACCAGTGGCATTATCAACTTCCCGCACTAGTACCTGCAGAATCCTGGTCAGGCTCCAAAGCTCCTGGTTTATTTTGTTCCAGGTTTCTGAACAATTCACTGGCAGTGGATCTGTAACAGCCTTTACACTGACAATCACTGGAGTCCAGGCTGAAGATGCAGGAGATTATTATTGTCAGCAGAGCTACCACTCTCCCCTCACACAGTGATACACATCTATACAAAACACTCTGCATTAACCTGCAGTGATCAGTGATCAACTACTACATCTGTACATTGTGGAGATACAATTATTTGAATTTACCGGAATAATCTGAAATATCGTGTGATCACATAAAGTACTAATCTAATAACTGTGAGATAGCAGATTATCTCATAATTACAAGATAGTACATTCCCACATACTGCATGTGCTGTACAATATGTGACCATCACAGGTTTGCACAAACAATACCTACATTATGACCATCTGACTTTCAGTTCTAAGCAGTGGAATCGATTCCAGGGCTCACTTACTCTTCTTTGAGGATAAGTGTATGTGAGTATCCTCCTGGTTAAAACTGTGCTTATATGAGGTACAAACTGCAACATTTCATCGTAAATAAACCAGAGGGAAAAGCAAGTCCATGCACATTTTGCAGTGCTGCACATTGTCAGGAACACTAAACCCACAGTTCCAGCAAAGCCAGCGGTAACTTGGTGGTACTCTCATTGCAAAGTGTAACAGGTTGTTCATACAGTGAAATGATCATTGCTGTGTGGTAATTATTAGATAATTTGCTATAATTTGCTATCTCGTAGTTACCAGATAACTCTGATTTCTTGGGGACAAAAGAGAAAAGGATTCTACTCTTAAGCGTCTTTACTACTGTTTGTGCACATGGTCTATCTCAGGAACAGACTGCAAGTCAGATAAGGAGGAAGAAACTCAGTTCACTCCTTGGGTATGACTGCTAACACTGAATATACACGGATAGTCCCAACTGTATTTATTTGATTGATCACAAGGAATTACAGGTGGCAAGAGAGTAGCAAGATTTTTCTTATGCTAAAAAGTCTTGGGGAGAATTCTACTTGCATATGGACACACTCCTAGCCTGGTATCTAATTTTGTTATGATGCAGCTGCTTACTTGGTGTGAGTCTCATCAGTAATCACGCTGCAGAATCAGTACTGGAACAGGAAGAATGAGGCTCAACTGAGGAACAAGTGGAAGATGAAGCAGGCAGGGCAGGCATCAGTTAGAACAGGTTGAGCTCTGGATGCACAGCAGGGGCAGAGATCGACAAGGTCAAGGCTGGAAAAAAGTCAGGAAAAGTTTGTCGGCTGAGAGAAAGTAAAAGACTATTCATTACTACTCACTGGCACTGAACATGAGCTCAAAGTCTGAGCACCGAACAGGCAGGGAATTACCCAGAAATAGTGAGCCTAACTGGATGATTGCAGTGCACCTGATTGATAAGTTGCTGGAGGCTGAGAGATGTGTCCCCAGTGAGTTTGCACAGAGTTGGATACAGATTGAGACCCTGTGTGAATGCACTGGTTGCCAGGAGCAACACCAGGACATGAGCAGCTCCCAACCCAACCAAGACTGAAGATGCAGGAGATGATTACTGTCAGCAGAGTAACAGCTTCCCTCTCACACAGTGATTCACGTCTGTACAAAAACCTCCTTCAACTCTACAGGAACTGCTCTGACTCATCAATAGGAACCAGAGTGGAGACTCAGAACAGCTGCAGAGCACATACAGTAGTACTGTACATAAGTGAGCTTATACATAGTATACAGATGTGTAATATTTGTCATTTATCTTAATGTAAAATTCATTTTTTTATGCTAGAGACATTGGAGCTTTTTGCTCACATGAAGATTAATTACATTAATAATTTCGTAATACTCAAAGTTAACTTTAGTTTTCATATCTTAGTTACAATTTAATTTTAATGACCAATGTTAAATTTTAAGTTGTTTAATGGAAATGTGCAAGTAAATGTGTTTCACATGCAAATCAAAACACAAATATTTATTATAAACACAAGCATTAAAAATTTGTTCTTACCAATTCAACTCCGGAGTTCTGCGGGTAGATTGTTCTCTCCAGCTCAGTCTCAATCAGCTAAACAGCCAGTCAGTTTATCAACAATGATCCACTGTTACCTGCAGAAACCTGGCCAGACTCACACAGCTCCTGGTTTAAAATGAAATAACCAGTCAGTCTGGGGTTCCTGATCGATTCAGTGGCAGTGCGTCTGACAGCCTTTACACTGAAAACAACTAAGATCCAGACTCAAGACACAGAAGATAACTACTGTGGACAGGGCTGGAGCTTTTCTTTCATACAGTGGCATACTTCTATATGAAAACTTTCCAGATGTACAGGTTTACAGCTCTACAGGAGCTGCTCTCCTGTCTCATCCACAGGAGCCACGAGACACGGGGAAAGAGCTGCTGAGTGTTAATGTCTGATCCCTGAATGTGAGGAACCGTGGAGAATGACAAGCCGAACTCCAAGAGCAGGCACTCAAGGGACTTCAGAGGGTTTTGGGGGAGGAAGGTTTGCAGGTTTTGGTTATAAAGCTGTCTGATGAGGAAGGCTTCTGCGGTGAAAGCCCGTAGGGCTGTACAGCAGAGGGAGGTAGGGGCCACGTTGTGAAGAAGACAACTGAAAAGAGGCAACTAGAGAAAATCTTCCTTGTGTATTCAGTGCCCTTTGAAGGCAGTGGAAAAACAAAAGAGCTCTTGAGTACTGTGCAAAAGTATGCAGTATTATTACAGGGAATTATCCTTAAATCATGTTATTTAATTATATGATTGGGATGCATGTGATTGAAAGATTGCTGAAGGCTATGTTTTCATGTAGTTGGAGAGGGTTGAGGATGCACTGGTTGCTTGGAGCAACACCTGGACGCAGGCTGCTCCCAGCCCAGGTGTAACACAGAGCTACAATTCCATTGAAAAGAGCTGGGCTTTTAACACTGAACCTAATACTACAATTGCCATCACACATAATTTTTCAATAGATTTCAAGCATCTTTTAATGTCTATTTTATCTTGTGAAATTTATTGTTTAATGTCCAATTACAACCCATTCAATTCATTTGTAAAGACAGAACACAGAAGCTACTGTTAAAGCAGAAGTTTGTTTCTAAATGACATGATAAACAAGACTCAATCTATCAGATTGACAATCAGATGAAGCAAGAGCTTGAAGACACATGAAATGCTGAATATTTTTCCTTCACATATCATCAAATACAGTACAACCACAATAAGAAATACAGACTGCAGTTATTAACACTGACCTCAAGAGAGAGACGGAATGTTATTTCTACTATACAGATGAAGCCATCTTGAATGTAAAAGGCGTCAGTTGGTATATTGCTGTAGGCATCATCGTGTCCTGGACAGAACCACTGCCAAAATACTACCTGCTGACCAAAAATGAATAAATATTGAATGGATTAATTCCTGATGAAGGTCTGAACATTTGATGTTTAACTCAAATTTGATATAATCCAAAATGACACCTTAGTGTTTATTTACATAATGTACAGTATATGTAGAAAAGGCTTGAGACAATGTAATTTTAGGATATTTTGATTGTTAAATGCTATATAATTTATTTACTATAACATTCTAGATATATAGTAGATTTTCACATGAAACATATGCTAGAACATTTTGGATCATAGTTATCATTATCTAACTTCAAGAAAAAAAAAAACATTAACAGAGTACATTACAAAAAGTGATAGACGTGCCCAGAATATGAGGAATATATATATAGATATAGCGCCTTGCCAGGGACCTTACAGAGTGAATTCCAACTTGTGCCTGTAGCTTGTCTGGCTCCCCCGTACCCCTGTACCGCATAAAGCAGTTTTGAAAATGGGATTAAAAGTTGGTACTATTCAGATTAACAATACAGTGTGGCAAAGGAGACCAAGTCACTTACTTCAACAAAGGTTAGTGTTAGATAAGCATTTAGAGCACAAGTTTCTGGTTGCAGCTTATATTTGTAAACACAGTACATATCAACTATAACACACTATGGTTTACCTCATAGGTATAACCAGTCACATATGCATTTATTGTTGTGAACAAAACACAATACGTGTTTAGAATAATGATGTGAAAGAAGAAAGAAAATGTTTGAATATCAAAACATTTATACTCAGAGATCCATTGGCCCAACATCTTTGATAAGTAAAACATTCTGCTGAAAAAACTAAGCTAGTTGGATTAGTCTGTGGTCTGACTTCTCAGCTGCTATCTCTGTCCTGGGAGTGTCCTGAGTACAGACTTTGCTCTGGGTTTCCGGCGACTCTGTCAAAAGTTAGTGTGGCTAAACCTTGGTCTTAAAAAGCAGTCTATGCATTGTGTGTTTCTGAATATGCTCACATATTCAGGATGCCAACAGAAAAATGTCTTATTTCATTGATCCCACAAAAATAACAGTGGGCTCATGAACACATTAACTTATTAACATTTTTTTCTGTTTCAGAAAGAATATCTTGGGCAGAATTCTGCAATTTACTTTGGATTCTGATTCAAACTGCTTGCAGATGCATGGTTGATAAAGTCAGAGCCAATTTACTTGGAGAGAGGAGGAGCCAGTGAGTTAATGAACAAAAATGAGTCGGGTTCTTGATTTTAAGGTACAGTACACATCATCCTGCAGGTCCCCCATTGATGGATCTTCCTTTAGGTGATGAACAGTGACCCTGGACCTGTGGTCTTGACTTGATGGAATCCATATGCACTGTATATCTTTAGATGTACAGCATTGGATGCAGCTTTACAATGTCTTTTATCAGAGAGACCTTGATGTACACATGTTCACAGATGACCAAGTTGTCTGTGTCAAGGCAACACAAAATTATTAGAAATCTCTAAGTATGATCTTCTTCTCCCGAATCGACTACTGTTATGCTCTACTCACTGGGGTTTCTAAATCCACACTGAACAAATTGCAGTATGTCCAAAATTTAGCAGTCAGAATCCTGACCAGGTCAAGTACA